CGACGCCAGGTGACGATAGCACATCGCCCCCAGCCACGAGTGGCAGTCGCTCACCCAACTCACCGATCTCGCCTACTGACTGACATAGTCCGCCGTGGCCAATCGGTGCCCACCTCAGACAATTATTGATTTTTCTATACGTTCAAACTTTCATTGTTTTGCAAAGTTAATGGTCTGACAAAGAATTGCGGAAAACATGTCTGCCTAATAAATTGACTTTTCAAAGTAACCATAGGAATGCAGGATAAGTGTTAAGTTTGCATGGTAGCGGAAGCAAAACGTCATTCATCTGACATTGTTGACACCGCGAATTATCCGGTTGTGGTCCTCCTCCCCTTACCTACATTAGCTGTGGGTGGGTGACTGCGTACATCACACATCACCTCGTGGCTTTCTAGTTCAGCTTAAGTAATTTCACTTGAAGGCGGATGTGTCGGCTGTAATCTAGAGAACCGCGGGTCTGTTGGTGAGCAGAACAGGCGATTCAACCAACCCCCTATCGCTTCAATGATTGCGTCTCCCGTAAGCTTATCCCCTACAGAGTTGCCGACTGAATCAGTGCCATCTCTACCCCCTGCTATCGCATCTCGACTATGCAGAATTTGGCTTATCTGTCCATCTTCCTCAAGAGGGTACCGTTCCAGCAATTGCGCCAACTATCATTATCATCCTCGAGCGCCAGGTACAGAGACGGAGCTTATTTCGGACATATGACACCGACCTTTGCATGCTATTGACTCTGAAGGCTCGAAAGGCAGCTACCTAATTATGGGTTCTAATGGGACACATTTATCGTAGGTTCGACGCTTAGCGGTTAGGTCTCATTTCACACTTCTGTTTATGCTGTTTGACAAAACTGTATCGGCAGACATTTGCCTGTAGTGTCCAGCATAGCCATTTTAGGTGCATGCTTAGGCAGGCCGGTTTTATGTAGCTTCGCATGGAGCTATACGGATGGTTACTATTAGAACTGGATAATTTCAATACTTTTCTTGGTGGCCTTGGATTTGAAGTGACCAAAACAGCAAGTAAGATAAGTTGTCCTGGTCCCGAGTCGAAGGA